TGAACCCCAAATCATAGCACTTAGGTGCCTTTCCCTGATATCCCATGGTCTTGGTACCTTCTTGAGTGCTTCTCACTGGAGCTGGTGGAAACTTCTCTGTTCAAGTGGGTTGATGTTACTGGACACAGGCAGTGTGTCAGGACTGGCTGAGCACAGAGGCCATGGGCAGTCAGTGTGCTTCAGCTGCTCATGGCAGCACAGCACCTAAGGGTAGTGTGTTCTTTCTAGATCCCATTGTGAAAGACCAGGCTCGGATGGGCTCATCCAACATGCCAGGTGGCAGCACTCCTGTCAGCAGTGCCAGCATGATGTCAGGTCAGTTCTCTCAGCTCTTCCTGGTGCTCGGTGTGTGTGTAAGCATTTGTACGTGCTGGGTGAGTGTGAGGATCTAGGAGGGTGAGCTCTGCAGGTGGGGTATTAGGTCATCCCCTGGGACCAACAACAAGGGCAGGGAGGGCTGATAAGTGGGTGGGAGAGTGCAATACATAAGACCTTGGGCAGCTTGACCTGCTTTTCTGGTCTTGTTTTAAGAAGTGCTTTGCAGTTGGATTTTGTGGCTGCAGTTTGAAGGATAAATGCACTGGCACAGGTTGCCCAGAGAAGCTGTGGATGCCCCATCCCTGGAAGTGTTTAAGTCCAGGTTGGATGGGGCTTGGAGCAACCTGGTCTAGTGGAAAGTGTCCCTGCCCACAGGAGGGGATTGGAATAAGATGATCTTTAAGGTCCCTTCCAACCCAAACCAGTCTGTAATCTGTGATCCTGCCACACCTCTGCCTGCCTGTGACACTCAGATGTGTGCCAACCTGTGCCCTGCTCAGAGGCCACAGAGAGTAGTGACAGATCTTTAGTCTCAGCTTATTTTGGCAGCTCTGGAAACATAACTGACCTGCAAAGCTACCACTTGATTTCAGGGGCTGAGCTGTCCTGGATAGCAGTGGTTTCATGCACAATTAGGTTTCACTCTAATTCCTGCTTACCTGTCTGTCTTCCAGGGATTTCTTCAGTGCCAACACCTTCACCCCTTGGACCTCTAGCAGGCTCACCTGTCATCTCTGCCACCACCACGCTGGGGATGCCAGTTCCAGCTGCTGCAGGCGCCCAGCAGTAGTGATGGGCTCTGTCTCCTGCTGCCTGAGCTGAGTCAGGTGGGGAAGAGGTTTCCCCCTCCACCTCTCCTCAGGACGCAGCTCGTGCCTGGCAGGGGAAGGGAGGGGATGAACGCTTTGGAGACACCGTGTCTGAACTGTTGCTTGTGGATTTATAGTAGTTCAGTCATTATATACAAAATTATTATAGGCTGATTTTTCTTTTTTTACTTGAACTTTTCGTAACTCAGGGGGTTCCCTGAAAATACCTACAGATGGAATATTTCTCGGACAGTTTTTCTTTCCCCCACCTCAGCCCCACCCCTCCCCCCAAAAAATTACTCTTCATTTAAGAACAAAGATGATTCAACAGCATTTCCAAGCTCTTGCATCCTGCTGGAAATCTCTTCTCTTCATGTTCCCACCATTATTCCTCCATGAGCCTACACTTTGGGGGATTGTGCTGTTCTCCAGAGACTACCAAACCAAGTCTTCTTGAGGCAGGGGAGGGGATTCTTAAAGTACCACTCACTGGAACCCCATGTCCTGCATATGTCCCAGACAGGGTACACTGAGGAGACAATTCCAGTAGGGAGAGGTGGGATAAGCTTGAAAGGAATAAGTGCAGATAATGTCCAAACCCCTAATTGGATTGGATAATGTCTCCTTAGGAGCCAACCAGGATGCCAAGTCACCCCTTGCATGTAGTTTTAGTCTTAAAAATGAAGTTACTGATCCAATTGGAGTCTTTGCCACCTCCTGAGACAGGTGCTCCTGGAGAGTGAGCCCTGTTCTGATCAGCCCCTTTCTCACAGAGGGTTCTTCCTGCCATTGCTTGGCTTGGATCTCTGGAATTAGTTTTGTTATTGGGTATATTGTTTTTAAATTGTTTCTATAGGTTTCAAGCTGGTGGCTACTTAAAGCTGGAAAAAATCAGACTGCGCCAAGTCCGATCCCACATCTTCACCCACATCCCCTCCCTCACGTGCCATGTGGTGAGAATACCAGTTACCTCACAGTCTTGTAAATATGCACTGAGAGGAAGGAGTGAGCAGACGTTAACTTAAACTGAAATGGTAGATCAGTAATTGTGGACAAATATTATCATTGACAACGGAAAAACACCCTTGTTACAGCCCTGCTACCCCTTGCTGTGTATATATACTTTGTCCTTCATATGTGAAAGATCCAGTGTTGGAATTCTTTGGTGTAAATAAACATTTGGTTTTATTTATCGAGGTTAGATTTAAGTTCCCTGTGTAGAGGCCTCCCTGGGGTGGTGGTACACTGACACAGGAGTGGTGACAGCCCTGCGTGTCCTGGGCAGGGCCTGTCCCTGTCACACACATGGGGAGCAGTGCAGAGGAGCCTTACACAGACATCACAAGCCAAAGTATCTCCTGGGAGAAGGATCTTTTGCCATAAAGCTGAACACCCCCTTATGCCTCACCTCTCACAGATGGGGAAGTGACAATTCACAGGTTTTTGTGTGTGTTGCCATTCATTGAATTTCTGTGACTTTTCGGGTCACTTAATGCTTGTGAGGCTCAGCTGGTGTGGCTGCAGACACAATGGCACCTGTCCCTCTTGGTCACCTCCCATCCCAAAGCCATTGCAGCAGTTGCTTGTCCTGGGCCTTGAGTGCTCTTCCCATGCTGATGCCTTGGCCTGCAGCTCCTGCTGTCCCAAGCACCTGTCCCTTGTCTGGTTTTGGGGGTGATGGACACATCTTTCCAGGTAACTTCGGTTAACTTTAGGATGGAACATGAGGGCTGGGTTAAACTGACTCCTAGGACAGGGAACATAGCCCCATTTCATGGGCACAAGGATTTTCATCTGCACCAGGGAGGCTTTGTCCTCCATGACTTCATCCAGTGGAAATCCATTGTGCTTAACCTTTTATAACCTCAAGTACTGTGGAAGTTGGGCTGTTGACTGTTACCTCAACATGCTGTCACATAAAAGCACCCACTATGCCAAAATACAGCTTGTTTGTGCTAGGTCGAGGCCTATGCAGGACATTTAACCAGGTTCTTTGGTTATTCCAAGCAAGGAGTCCCTTTGCACCAGGATAAGGTGCATGGACAAGGAGGCTGCAAGATGCTGGCAGTCCCATTGATTACTCTGGGTGAGGAGTCCCTTTGCACCAGGATAAGGTGCATGGAAGAGGGGACTGCAAGTGGCTGGCAGTCCCACTGATTATTCCAGGCGAGGAGTCCCTTTGCACCAGGATAAGGTGCATGGAAGAGGGGACTGCAAGTGGCTGGCAGTCCCACTGATTATTCCAGGCGAGGAGCTTTGGCCGTGACAGCCCCTTGCAGGCAGCGCCAGGGGCTCATTGCCAGCGGCTCTGCCGAGGGAGCGCGGGTGGTTCACCGGACACACCGGCGCGGAGTGCCCGCAGCCCCGCGGGGGCTGCTCCGCTGCGGGGCCGAGCGCGTT